TATGAAGTAGCTAAGTGGCCTTTCTTATCTATGCTAAGAAGTAGTCTTTAAAAGCCTACTGTATATGATTGATTTGATTGACCGTTATTTATCAGTCAGCGCATTGATAGTTCTCTATCACACAGTAAAAAGTACTTCTGGGGCGTGCGTATATCAGAGTTTATAGCACGGCTTCAAACGTGTGTCAGCCAATCAGCTTTCAGGACAGGAACTATCTGTTTTATCATTTCTGGTAAACAACTCCCTTCACAGATATACAGTACAGCCCATAATTCTGTCATGAGGCTGAAACTTTGTCTCCTTCTACAAAGCATATAGTATGTTTGTCAGGCTTGCCTGAACTATTGAAGCATTGGTGCTATGCACTGATAAGTTTTAGTTGTAATTAATATAAAGGAAATAAAATATGGTTTTACTAGCCAATTAATAAGTAATAATGTCCCCAGCAATTAAATGTCATACTTAAGAGTCAATTACAAATGCAAATCTGTTTTTAAGTTTTAGATTTTAATGGAATTATACATAGTATACCTTATCATATTATAATACTGTATTATTCTGTTCTTTTTTGACAGTTTTTATTCATGCTTTTGATTCATCTGTATCTCACCTGTGATTAAGGAAAATATCAGTTGTCCTCATCTGTATCATCATGTATGTACAGTACGATTAAAATGATGAAATTATTTTAATCATAATGAAAATATCAATGAATGGCTTTCACCGTTCATTTATTATATTATAAAGAAAGGTTTTGCAGAGGTATTACTGTAAGTTTGTGTTAAAGTTTAGTATGTCCAGAAAAGATCCTTAAAACTAGCTAGAAACCTAAAAATGTTATCACAATTGTGTAATTCCTTGAAGTCTGGTGTATGTTAAGTATGGAAAATATAAACTAGAAAACAACTTTATCTATAGAATTGCTAAATAACAGGTCTAGTAAAGCATGGCCCAGCATTCTGTGCTACTTCATAATGAATGATAGTAAGTGCCCCCACTGGTGATAAACCAGTGCTGCACTAACCCATTTGCAACAATAACAGTGCCCCTTTGTAACATTTGCTGAAAAGGATTTTTTTACTTCTTCTTGAAAAACAAATCTTTGAGTCAAAAAACTGTTCAGAAATGGGACGCTACCAAAAAGTGAAACAATATGCAATTGTGGAAATACCAAATAATGAAAATTAATTTATCATAAGAACTTACATCTGAAGGTGCACATAACATTTCACAATTTAATTTATTAGTGAACCACAACATTCAAAAAGCCTTATCTCGTTTTTCATGACATTTCAACACAAGTGCTAATTGTGATAACATATTTACATTTAAAATTGATCATTTATCCATATAAAAAACTTTAATTATTTTTTTTTAGGAAGAAACCAAATAATAGTAAGGCTGCTTGGTTAGAATTACAGTATAATCTCAAATTACCCTCATTTGCTTAAAGATATGCATTCTAAATGATAGCCTTTCATTAATATTAACTAAATGTAATCCCTAAATCTGAACAGCAATAAAGAGAAGGCTTCAACAAATTTGTTTTGCGTCAGATGTGTTTTAACAATTAAAAGGTAGATACTAAAAGCATGAATAAATATGGTACTTAACATAAATATAAATTTAAACAATTATTTTTTCTGATTCTTTACACTAAATAATTCCTTGGATAAATATACAGTAGGATATTAAGAAAATACAGTGGCACATTCATTATAGTGATTTCAATTTTAAATTTATGTAATAATGTATAATCATTTTTATACACATTAACAAAAGGAAATTAGAGATACCTGTGTGTTTTTCGCAAAAATAAAAAAATGCTTTAAACTTTCTAAAACATTATTAGAAACATAAATTCATAACAAAACTACAGAATTTTTATTATGTAACTAATGATTTAGCTGATCACTTTTTCAATAAAAAATTTAATTTAGAGCATTTTTGCAATAAAACACTTCTACTTTAAATTACATTCTCATACAGTATCTGTTTAGAATACAGGGCCCTATATTCAGAACACTAAAGCTCTTAAATGTCCATAGGAAGCAATGGGCATTCACAAATGTACAGTATTTAGTATTTTGAATATAGGACCCACATGTTTTACAGAAACTGAGAAAAGGAATGTTTCTTCACATTTGTTCTGCTACCCTTTATCTATTGAACTGACACGCTTGTATGGTAAATTGTCTTTTATATTTATACAAAATTCACTACTTTTAGCACTACCCAGGAGTTCAATCACCAAATGTAACTGTCTGGAGCAAAGGGTGGGCACTGTGGTCCACAAGTCACTTATAGAAGTCTGGATTATGTTATTAGCAACATTCAACCAGAACTGTCCAGGGGATGCATACAGTGACTAAAAAATAGCCATTGTGGTTGGGTGAGTTGAAATTATCTTGGGTTTTCATAACTTGCGATGAAACTGTCGCTGTTAAGACTCGCTAGCTACCTATACACTTTCAGGATTATCTATGACAGTGAATACATACTGTAATATCAGATATACAGTACATGATGACAACCACACAAACAATAATAAAGCCACAAGTGCTACTATAAGCTTTATACAAAAGCTTGCAGCAAAAGTCTTACTTCTATAAGAGCAGAAGCCTCAAGCCGAAAGGGAAGGTGAATGCGTGCCTCACAATCTTTTGAGGATGTTTGAGGATGAACAAGTACCAAAATGGTCTTTTTGCAGATTTGTATTAGAAAAATAAATTGTTGTTGCCTCAAATGTTTTGTCAAAACAATACTAAATAATTACAGGAATACTGACCAGAGGCATAATGGAAAAACTAACTGAAATGCAGGATGCTTGTTTCTTTTGGAAGGAAACTGCAAATGCAAATGGAAAGTGTCCTAAACAAAGTTACTTAAGCAGGAATTTTCTTAAATGAAATTCAGTTCTTGACCTAGAACAACATTGTTTTACATTACTATATGTTTTTCAAGCTGAAGGGTCATTTTGTTTCGTTTGAGTGTGTTATTTGTAATTGTAGAGCAGTGAATACTGACTAAAGTATTAGAAAAAAAATATTCTAATGTTTTTATACAGGACTCTTTCCGCAGGACTGAATACCTCGTTTTCAAAACACTTCCGAGGTTCTTCTGGCTTCTGACAGCTCATTTTGTATTGTGTTATTTTGGACCAGCAAATATAACAAAACAATTTTTTTTATAATAATTTAGTCATGTTAGAGTTGTCCTGAAAAGGTTTAGATCTCTTATGATTTTACTGAATGGTACTGTATAATTATTTCAATTGAGAGTGAATAATACTACTATTCAAATATAAAACAAAGATTGTTGTCAATTTTATTTTGAAGAATAAAGAACTGTCACTCACTAAATAATGCATCTTGCTGTAATTCAAGAGATTACAGCTTCCTTTTTGAAGTAACAACACTATTGACAGAGCAACATACTGTAATTTATATAGTGTTTTTTGCCCCATTTACACAATTTTCATGCCAATCATTTTTGACCAACTGTTAATTACATCCTCTACGCATTACTATGGAAATTTAAAATCTGCAAGCCACAGTCCACATGAGGAACACACCAGAATGTATCCAACTATAGCCAACGAAGGAAGCATGAGTATGTATTTAGTTGCCAGATCTACCACACTTAATTGCTTTCCTCTATCATAATTTTGCTGTCTTCTGATACACACTGCTAATACTGCTTTCTTAATCCAGAAAATATTTCTAGTGAAATATTTTCAAATTATTTTAATATTATTCTCGTAGCACTAAATGGAAAGTCTTATATTTTTGTATCATTGATTTTTTAAATTAAAGTAAAATGACAGAAGAAGACATCATTGATGGAAGAGACAATCCCTAGTACTTGACTTAATTGTTTAACTTAATGTAAGATTTTATTTTAATTTATTTCATTATAATTTTTGGAACCATATTAATTTTTTGCATGAATCACGCTCATAAAATCCAGTTTTGTTTTATTTATAGTTTTAGAAACAATCAGATTACAAAATAAACATTAGAAATAGAATTATCTAATACTTTGTTTCTCACTTCATTTTACCTATCCTGTAGCATTAACTGTTCCATTACATACTAGAAACAGTGGTTCCAATTTAAAACAACAGTTATAAAATGCATCTTCAAAGAAGCTCATCAGCTAACAGAAAGACAAATGTAATTGATTTACTCAAATAAATACTATATTTCCCTTCCAATTAATTGTAAAGCAGAATCTCCAGTGTACAGTACCTATGAAAAACTTAATCCTGGAATTACTTTTACTAATTTGGCTGTTGTTGGGCTCTCCCACCCATAAGAAGAGACTTTCAAAGCCTTGTTTGAAAGTGATCTTCTTTATTGTAGGACTCCTCTCTACTAAGTGAAGGCTACTGAGAAACCACACCATTATATACTGTACATACAAACACAAACATATGTTTGTATAATACTGGATATATTGTATACAGTATTATTCACATGTTTGGAAACACTGAGCTATAATAAAAGTGCATACATCTTTTAATAGAAACCAAAATTGCTAATGTATTTTTTATTTTATTCATGTATATAAGAAATGTGCTTTTTTAAAATAAATATTTTTGCTATTGATATTAAGTTGGGTGGTTAATGTCAAAAAGCACTGTTTAATATAAGGAGCTGGGGATTTTAAAGCTCTTTGATTCAGGTAATCTGAGAACTCCTTTAATTGTTAATTGGGAATTAAAATATTGTACTTTAATCAAACAATACAGATAATATGGTTAGAACACATTAAATTGTCTTGTGTTCTAACCATACTAACATAAGTTGTAACATACTACATTAAATGGAGTTTACTTGTAAAGATACAATTGTTTAAATTGTTTAAAAAAGAATGGAAAAATTCTGAGCTGACACCAGCTTAAACCCTTAAAATGTATTAATTCATTCTTAATACCGAATGAAATTGTTTTATTTCCTTTACTGTAAATCAATGCAGAAAATATAAATACTTGCTGTTTTTTTTTACTGTTCCCTGTTGCATTTTAAAATTTAAGGCAATATATCATTAGTGAAAAATTAATACAGTATGCAACAGCTAAACTCCAGGTTCATATGCATAAACCAGACAGCAGACAGATAAAATATTGCTGATGGATGCTGCATTTGGTTCTTCCCAGTAGCATTAGCCCATTTCTTCCACTTATTTGGTCATAACAGAAGCTATTACACATAGATATTAAAATTTGACCCTGACCTTACTCCTTATTATTTCAAGTCTTAGACGATTCTTGTATGGCTTATACATGCAGTGTTTTATAGTTTTGTGTGTGTTTTACTGCAGTAACACCACTCCCTTAATTAACACTAAATGTATACCAGACACAGCTGTTACTTTGGCAGCGGTGCTTGATAATCCAGAGCAGCCAGTGCAGAATGCTCCAAAACTGCTCAAACCTGAAGAAATTAATGCCAGATATTTGATTTTGTATACAATATTGCACATCTTACTCATCTAAATATTAGTTTCTCTCTGCATTTCATCATCCTGTGATTTCTGAGGACAGACAAGCACATCTTCAGGTGTCATCTTGGAGTCTTCTTCAGCCTCTTTCTGGTCATATTTAATTTCATCCTTTTTCAGGTCTGTTTGCCGTTTGCGTTCTTTGTCGAGCAGTCTGTAGTTGATGGCGTTCCCGACAAACAGCCAGATACTTGCAATTATCACAATGACTCCACAGGAAACATACATGTATGCGTAGTTCCCAGTCACATCCACCAACCAACCTACAAAGATAGATAAAATAAAGTTACAGATTGTAACTGTTCTACAACTACAAAGTGTGTAGTTTTTGCAATGGTTTTAAACATTTGGGTTAAAAAATTGAATATTTGTTTAAATCTTATATTCATAATGGTGGCTACTAATAATGTTTTGTTTTGTGTAAAATTAAAGCTCACTGCCAGGTTAGCTAGCATCTTAAAGTTTGACCACTAGATGGCGGACACAGAAATGTGATACATGGGCAGTCTGAATACTTTAACGCCATATTCAGCATCTAATTCATAATTCTAAAACTGTTATCCACTGGAGCATATTTCTGAGATGTGATTTAAATAATGAATTTTTATATGGGCAGTTGTCTAAAATTGAGAACAATTATTATAATTGCCTGGATAAAAACATGAGGTTTTCAGTCACTTGGTGGAGTGCATTTTGCACATTGTTTTAACTGTGAAAGGACGTGAAAGAAATACACCACTTAGATAATGAAGGTTAAAAGTATATAGGAGCTGACATTTATATAGTTTTCATAAGTCTTTGTACCTGTCTGACATATACTATATTTAAAGATTTAAAAATATGTTCTCTCCTGTTTAAGAATAAGTAAATAACATATGCCTGCATTACAAAAGAAAATCAAAACTCTTTATTACCTCCCAAAGGTGGTCCAATAAGAACTGGGCAGCACTCTACGATCGTAACCAGCCCCACAGCACTGGAAAACCGCTGAGCACCAACAAGGTCCATTAAAGTTTCAAAGAGGACTGAGCTGACCATCCCAAAAGCAAATCCAAAGAATATTGAATATATTACAAGCCCTGTGTAGCCTTTTGCCAGTGGGCAAAGAATATGGCAAACTCCATTGTATAACACAGCAAAGCTAAAAAAATACTGAATTTTTGGTCTGATCCATTTAGAATTTGCCAGAAGTCCCATTGATGGTCTTGCAAACATGTCCACAAAGGCTAAAATGGACAATAAAAAGGCTGCCGAATATTCATCAACACCAATATCTTTGGCATATGCAGCCAGAAACACAATAGGGGCAAAGAAACCCACAAACATGATGACATTCCCTGATAAATAAATAAGAAACCCCCTGTGTTTGAAAAGGGAAAGATCTAAATACTTGTTTATTGTTTGCCATACCGATAATTTCTCAGTATGTTTCCTGGTATGCAGGAGTGGATCAGTTGTTTCAGATTCAATGTCTTTTTTTATTGGAGGTGCAGGTTTTGGTCCTAAGGGTCTCATCAGGGAACCAGCTACACAGCAGTTCAAAAGGATGCCACCCAAGATAAGGAAGCTTCCTCTCCAGCCAAATGAATTGAACAAAAACTGGTTGAGCGGGGCAAGTGTGCTCAGAAATACTGGGCTTCCAGCCATAGCTAGGCCATTGGCTATTGGTCTTTTCTTAAAAAAGTATTTGCCAATCATTGTTAAAGCAGGCTGTAAATTAAAGGCCAAACCAAAACCTAAGGAAGGAAAGGAAATACAAAACAATGCATGAGTGTGAATAACATTAACACATTTTGAAATTCAAAGTACCATCGTTTAACTTCTCTTAAATCTATAATTCTATAATTCCCACAGAAAACAAGGTACCATTTAATAGCAGTCAAAACTGACTCTACATAGTACCCATCAAGGAAGGTGTTGTAATATTATTTTTAGCTTTTTATAATTAATTTCTAGGACAGTACAGTGTATATTTCTCCATGCAATGTACAGTATGTCATTTAATTGAACCTTACCTTTGTAAAGCAACTATCACCATTCATCTAAGATAGTGGTTCCCAATTCTGGTCCTGTGACCCAAACACCTGTTGAGTTTTGTTCCAGCTGAGCCCTTAGTTACACAATCAAACCCTTCATTGATTTAAGAATAAGATTAATCTGAAATTTTTCTTCCCAGATCATAACCCTTGCCATTGTGCGATATGAAAGTATAGCTTCTGAAACAGCCGTCAACACATTTACGCACAAAATCCTTTAAACAAGTTTCACCATAAAATTCCCAGCTTCATTTATTGTTAATATGAAGGACGTGAATGTGATTTGGAATGTGTGTCCCTGTTTCTGGCATGCATTCAAAGTCGAAAAAAAATGTAGCTGTTTGAAATTTTGGGGTTGTCCAAAGGCTGTATGTAGCACAGATGCGTGTCAGGGGTGTCGATTACGTTGTTACACCATGAGCAGTTTCTCTTTACATTTGCGATTCGGGAGGTTATTAACCTTATATTTCTCACAAAAGGATCTGCTCTCACACTTACCAACACCTGTCGCCACATTCTGTAAGTGTCAAACACTGAGAGCCACGACAAAAGACCTTACAAACTGGGCAATTCTGAATTTCTGCATCAATTTCACTGGGGATCTAAACAAGTTTTCCAAGATTTAACACACGCATGAGCATTTTTTTGACTGTACACGGCAGTGAGTGCTAAAATACGCTGAGCCCACAAAAGCTTTAATATTTAAAACCCTGTAGAAATGATCTTCATACAGTAGAACAAAAAGTATTTTAGATTCTGGTGGCGTGGGCCCCGTTGTAAAATATTTCCACTCGTTCTGATCGTGGTACAAAATTTTAATGACTACCTTTAAATGTTTTTCAAAAGCTGCAACGTCTGACAAGCTAATTTTCAGATTCTCTGGAAAACCCAACTCCCAATTTAATAAGTTGTATTTTATAAGTGAAATAAAATCCAGAACAAAATGCAGAATTTTCAATGAAGCAACTTCTTAGATCAATTAAGTCTTCAATAATCTAATTATGGTGGGATGGAAAGAAAACCAGTAGGTGTGTTGGTCATCAGGACCGAGAGTGGGTACCACTGATCTATAAGAACAGATTAAACCTTTGATAAGGTTCATCACATACTATCACTTCCAAAGTAAGTAGTTACAATAGCGCATGCATAATTGCATTTCCCCTATTCATTTTTTGTTGCTAGATTTGCACCTGTTGTTGTTTTGCTTCAAGAAAATTTGGAACAATTTTACTCTTCTGTGAAATTTGGAAGATCAACTTGTATTCATGTTCAAATTTGAATTTAAATAGTAGAATAAGTTATAAGTTACTATGTTATAATTATTATAACTAACCAAAAAATTATAATAAATCCCATAAAAGAGATCAACAGAGCTTTTTATATTTGGATGATTGACAAACAAACTCCAACTACTGAAACAAAGCAAGAAAAGCAAAGCATGAGTGAATATAATTCCTTACACTTTAATAGCACTTTTCTGAACACTCCAACCAAAGTGCAACAGTACACTCACCACACATGAGCTATCAGAGACAAAGTGATGATGCCAGTTTATAGATGGGGATTATTAGGGTCCATTATTGTTAGGACTGGTAAGGGCAAGTGGGAAATTTGGCCTGGACATTGGAGTAACATCCCTTATCTTTTCAGGAAACACCATGGGATATTTAATGACTACCGAGAGCCAGGGCTGCGATTTTATGTCTCATTGAAAGGATGGAACCTTTTTTTATAGTATAGTGTTACTACTGTATACTGTGCCATTACACCCCACACAAACCATGGGGTGAGTGCCCCTCTGTTTCCACTAACACCTCCTCCATCAGCAACCTTAGCTTTCTCAGGAGGTCTCCCATCCAGATACTGGCTCACACCTGATTAGCTTTATGGGGTTTATGAGAAATTATTATTAGTTCACAAAGACTATCCCAGTTTAGAATTCACAGTACCAAGACAGTTGGAGAGAACTCTCTGTATATTCCAGATTATATAGAAAAGTACAGCACACTTTTTTTCAGATTTCATTAAATTACTTTTAGCAGGTAATTGAAGGCTAACTTTACTTTTCTGTGCTCAAATCAGTTTAAATGTAGCTCCACTCAAATTTTCTTACCTCCAATAACTCCAATACAAAGGTAAAGTTGCAACACATTGTTACAGAAAGATGCCGATATCATTCCAATTGAGCACAGGAAACCTCCCATGATCATCACTGGTCGACTGCCATATTTGTTTACCAAGATACTGCTAATAGGACCTGTAAACAAAAGGATTAATGATTAAGAAAGTGATCCTTAACAAATTTTCAGAAGAATCAGATCAATCTTTTGGCTCAATATTTAATTCCTAAATGTTAATTAATTATTTATAAGTCATAAATGTATTCTTGTTCAATTCTAGCTGCTTGTACAGTATATACCTAGAATTTAACAATACATATCACACATCTTGTAGGTTAATTTCTTTTTACTCAGTGCAGTCTAATTTTGGAGAATTTTGCATTAGCAGTCTCTTTTTAGGAACTTTGATACCCTATAAGAGACACCTCACACAGAATAATCTGCAATGCAATCTTGTCATCTGCACACAAACACAATCAAGAATTTTACAGAAAGCGGCAGAATCGGAATGAAAACATGTCAAAAGAAATAAACTGCACACAGAAAACGGTATGCATTACAGAAATATATACAGTATATATTTTTTACTGACATCAAAACACTAAAACCTGACTACACTAATTGGGGTTGCTATGCTAAACATGTTAGGTAAATAGCATTATTTGTTTAAATAGGTTCAGTATTCTGTTTTGACCTTGAATTGATAAAGGAATCTCATTTACATACACAAAATCCCTCCACTGCAGTCTAGCGATATGTCAAATTATGAAAGTCTCAAACATTAGCTGGGCTAATTAACACAGTGTAAAAGCCACCAGCACTTCCTTTGTGAGGATTTCTGCTCAATTGCTCAGTATTTTCATGAAAACCATTCCCTGCTAGCATTTTAATTTCTGACTATACCAAATGGAAAAATGCAAAGACAAAAAAGCTAAAAAATATAAAGCTCATTTGCAAATTTTTGTATGGAGACACTATGCAGGCACACTACTAATTTGATAAGAAAAAACTATAAGTGCTACTACAATAAAGCCTGTAGGGATTTCCCTGCTGCCCTTGGGTGTACTGTGTTTGATTTTAATTTTTATTTTTAAAAACATTTCTGGCGAGTATTGTGATTTAGAGTTCTTTTACTGTAGTCAATCAAATGTTATGTAGATTTTTTAATTAACCAAACATTTATGTAACTATATAAGTCTACAGAAAACATTTTTCATTACCAGTGATAACTTTGCAATGAAGTTCAAACTAACATAGCAGAAAACATGGAACATGATTGCCACACAGAGAAATATATATACATAAGAAATATAAATATTCTTCTAAAGAGAAGCATTATACACATTTTTCCTTTCCCCTACCCACCTGGAAAGAAACAAAAGAAGGAAAAATGGTTTTGTAGTGATATACTAATACTATAAATATGTCAGATCAATATTTAACATAGTCAATTCTTTATTGAGGACACCTTATTCAGAATTGGTCCTAAGTTTCTCCTATGTTCATGACAGAACACTTCCTCCACTTAGGCTTATTCTCTGAGCTTCTATAAAACTTTACTTTCTTTCCTTCCCATACACAATACTCTTTCTGTCCCCTCTCCTCCCGAATACATTGCTGAATTCCTTCACCCCTGTCTGACTCTCTGTTCTTTGCACATGGATCCCACAACTAATACCCCTACCTTGGAATACCTCTCTGTCATCTTTTCTGGACTAATGCTCTTAGTCTACTTCTTTTCATTTCATCATCCTTCAAGACTTCTTTGATTTCTCATTGTTTTCCTATCAATTCAAGAATATCCACATTATCTCTGTTCTCAAGAAGACTTCACTTGACCTCTGTTCCCCTGAGAACTATCAAACTATTTGCCTGCATTCTTACATTCTTCATGAGCACTGTCTGCTTGACTCTTTTCTGATCTGTGCTCTTGTGCTAACCCTCAATACATTGCTTGTGCTATTTCACTTACTTCTGTACTAATTCTAGTCTATACAGGACTGCTTCTTTTAACTTCATGCCCAGTTTATTCATTGATATCTACCCTGTACATATTGAACTACTAGCTTAAAGTCTAGATTCAGAACTAGATGCATTCTTTACCATTCTGCTAAATAACAATTTTGATCAGAAGACAGTCAACATATTAATTTCAACACATTTCACCAACATTGTCAACGCATCAAGGCATTTTAAATATTCAATATAATGTAGCCTAAGCTTATAATCAGCACACTACTCCTTAAACCAGTGGTTCTCAAACTTGTGGTACGCGGAGCGCCACCAGCTGGTATGCCATATGACCCTGGAACTTTGTGTGCACTGAAAAATCGGGACGGGTTTTCATATTCTCTATTTTAATGTGTCGAATACGCAGCCTACGTACTATGATACAGCGCGCGCTAATACTTGAGTGGACACAAGAGCTACTATGTAATTCTATACCATTGTATAGAAATGCGTGCTACAAATGCACGTGATCAATTGTATTTAAAAAAAGGGATCTCCAGCAAATAGGGAGGTAGGAGAATGAGCGTGATTTTGGAATGCCGCCAATCTTGTAAGCACAGGAAAGCATAGAAATGCATGCTACGAAATTAAGTGACCAATTGTATTTAAAAAAAGTTATCTCCAGCAAATAGGGAGGTAGGAGAATGCGTGACTTTGGAACAATGCCAATGTTGTAAGCACAGGAATGCATAGAAATGTGTGCTACGAACGCTGGCAATCTTGTGAGCACAGGAAAGCATGATAGATAACAGAAAAATATTTAATAACCCTAACCCAAATACACAGAGCATCTCTGTATTTCGCTCCCATGCGCATGAAATAAAAACTTATTTTAACTTCTGAGACGGACTCCTGAAACAGAAACGGGGAAAAATGCAAGCTAGTGGATTGCTAAAGCAGGTAAGCCCCACACTATTTTTGAAGAACCTTATTTACCGTTGGCAAAAGAGCTGACACATATTATGTTTGGAGCTTTTTATGTTTGGAGAAAAAGCTGCTTAACAGCTCAACCTGCTGCCCCCTCTGAAAGACAGTCACTCATAGAATTATTGATATGGCGGATGATATCAAAAGTATGCTGATAAGTGCGTTAAGATGAGCAGATGCTTTTCACTGCAATTAGATGAGTCACTTTGACCAATTTGCTCAATTACATTAGATACGAGCTTGAGGGTACATCCCATGAGGACTTTCTGTTCTGTAAGACGCTACCAACAGGAACTACAGGAGAGTACATTTTTCAGCTACTGAATGAATTTATCGAAGAAAATGGCATCGACTGGATAAAATGCAGTTTGTACAGACGGTGCTAGAGCAATGACAAGCCGACACAGCGGCAGTTGCACGAATTAGAGAGGTTGCTCCAGAAATGACTGGACGCATTGCAACATCCACCGTGAGACCTTTGCCGCCAAGAAAATGCCTGACGATTTAAAATCTGTTAGACTCTGTTGTGAATTGTATCAAGGTTAAAAAAATTGAATTCACATCTGCTTTGCTCGACTAAACAGGCTAACCCCTCTCACTGAAATGGTGCTTTTTTGTTTTTTTTAATTTTTTTTTTTTCTTTTTTTTTTCTGTAAAGTGCTTTAAGAAGTCACCTTTAAAGGTGCTATATCAAATAAAGTTTATTATTATAATATTTATTATATGTGTATGTGAGTGTGTGTGTGCACACGCGATCATGTTGGTCATTGAGATTTTCTGGGGTTCCTATGACAAGATGACTTGTAGGTGGTACTTGGATGCTTTGGTTTGATCGGGGGCAGTACTTGGTCCAAAAAGTTTGAGAACCACTGCCTTAAACAATATAAAGTAAAAAATTAACTACAAAAAAAATTATCCTGCAGCTAGTATCACACCTTCCCCCTTCTCTTAACGACAGACCACTTTTCTTCTAAATTTGCTTCATTAATTGCAGGTTTCATTTCACACCTCTCTACACCTATTCTGACTTCACACCTCTTGATTGGCCTCTCTTTCTGTCCCCTGCTCCCACCTCTCGCTCCTCCTCTCTCCCAGCCTTTCTTCTCCCGCTACATTACCTTTGCTTACTGCCTTGTCTTTCTGACACCTGAAGAAGGCTCCATGGCTGAAATGTGTTTTCTTTCTTCTTTTTTTCAGCATGGAATAAACCTATTACTTGTTCCTTTGCAGCCTACGCATGCTGACGCAGCTACACACATGAACTACTAAAGTAAAAAATGCTGCATAAAAAATTATAGCCTTTAACTGGAAACCAAAGATAAAACATCTTGCAACCTTGATTATTCAGACAAAGATTTTGTCTGCATCTTAATTTTTGGTTTAAAAACCTGTCCCATTGATTTGAAAAGTAAAATACTCATAATAACAGGGAAAAGTGTTTTTTATTGTTGTTGAGTTAGTCTTGGCTGATTAGAAATTATGATTCAAGTATTTTGTTTTTGAATTGAATAAGCAAACCAGCATAACTTTTTTATATTTAATAGTCCTTCCTAGAATTGATTAGAATGTAATGACATACTGTAACATATTCAGATGCATAACACTTTTTCATCTAAAATCTGTCCATGTTTATTAATCCTGTATTCCAGTGAAATACATGGTGAAAATATTAGGTGAAAAGCTAAACTATGCCAGTCTTTCTCATACGGTAGCTTGTATTTCTGCTTTCCACATCCCTAAAGCAGTGCTCAGTGAGTAGTTTACCATTTTATGCTTCAAGGAGCATTTGAACACAAAGATAGTGGCATACAGTTTGCATATGCTTCAGATATAGGCAGTATCCTTGAGGCATTACGGTAATTAAAGCCTATCTGAGACATTCATAGGGCGTGTGATTTAAGAAACTGTATTTATGTGCAACATCACAATACAGACATAACTGCTATCATTATACAGAATTCTCCTTTGTTATAGTTGCTTAATAAAAGTACAAAATAAACTCTTCAAATCAGATGTAAGCAATACCTGACTTTTTCCATTGACATAAACATAGAATTGATTCATTGAAACCTGAATTAACCTTTTAATTTTAGCAGTTACATATATTAAAAACTAATGCCAATTTGTAATACAAATACAAATATATTTTCATCACACACTAATGTGTTTATCTTTGCAATATTTGAAACTCATTATATTT